AGAGAGAGAGAGAGAGAGAGAGAGAGAGAGAGAGCTGTACTGACCTCATTCTGAACCATCCAAACCCTTTCTCTCCTCATTTCATAGACAATGCCAAAGATGTCTACGGATTCGTATTTATTAATCCGTTGCAGAATTCTGTCCAAAGCGATGAAAGTTCCGGAACGGCCCACACCTGCCGAACAGTGGACTATAATTGGTTTATTACTGTCCGGAGAGCACCGCTCTCTAAAAGCTCTGACAAATTTAACTAAAGTTTTAGGCGGTTCTGGAACTCCAAAGTCAGGCCACGTTGTGAAATGAAAGTGACGGACAATTCTCGACTGATCACCCTTTAGACCAAATACACACAATTAAGTCAATATTAATTTGATAAATAACATAATCATGTCATCACTTACTCTCATCACTTTGAATTCAGCGATAGTCCAGTCGGGGTATTGAGATTCGTTAAGAATGGTCACCTGAATGTCTCCGTAAAACACCGGTTGCGTATCGAACGGCCAGTAGTGGTCGCACTTCTCTCTGCCCTTCTCTATACATCGCGTTAACATAACAATAGCTCTGGAGTTCTGTTCCCAAGCCATACGCCAAAAGTCATCTCTAGTGCTGTGAAGCGGTCCCTGAGTTACGATGAATTCTCGCGGACTGTTATACCCCGGGATGTAATTGGCATTAATAAAGTCAGAGCCGTCCTCGTCGTCGGTCGGCAAGAGTTTCACTCTCGAGTGATCGTATGGAAGGATATTTGTGAACCGATTCTTTGGCCGATTGGCCGGAAGGTCGGCCGCATTACACGGCTTATCGCGACCGACGTGTTTGAGAAGTTCAAACTCTTCCGAAAACCTAAAGTCCGAATCGGCGGACATTATGCGGAAGTGTTCGGAGAAATTATTTAGTTTTATGGGACGACTCGTTATGAGTTCACTTTCGGCAATAGAGAGGTTGTCTTCTTTGCCATTGTTATGAATATTACTCGTCTTTTTCGTTGCACTGAAAGGTCCGAGTCGTCGGTGTTTCAGATATATCACGATTACAACCAATAATAGCAACAGAACTAAAGGCATAAATATTCCCAAATAAAGAGCTGTATTGTCGGGATCTGTAGATATAGTGTATGAATAGACAGTATCTGTAAATTTTTCGGCGGCCGTAAAGGCTCTGATTTTAATTTTATAAGTAGTTCCGGGTTTGAGGGCTCCGTTGCAGTACTTTCGGCCACTACTTGTTGAACAATCTTCTGAACCGATAGTATAGTCTTCAATAATAGTTGAGTTGAAGGGATAGAATGCTTCGGACGCCTGATATGGCGGCCAAACAGAGAACTCTTGGACGTCATTCCAAGAGGGAAGGTCTAAATGATTGGTACTAATGGAGTCGTCCTCCGCTATAATCACTGCAAACGCGTTGACAGAGCCATACATATTGGAGAAGTAGTTCTTTCTGAACCTAATCCTAATAGTGGTGGACGTATGCGCCACTTCTGTGGGGAAGACATTCTCGGCGGGCAGAGGGGCCGACCAGATGGGCATTGTTTCCTCCCAAAGAGCCTTATGTCCGGGACCTACTTTGGTGTGCGCTTGGATTTGAAACACATATAACTTGCCGGGAATGAGGTTGTAAATGGTTCCCTGAGTGTCCGTCGGCTCGAATAACTGGTGTTTCATAACAGGGTTTCCTTTAATATAATAGCTAATCTTATAGCCCGTGAGAATGCCATTCATTTCGGACGCCGGGAGAGACCACTGGAGCGTCACTTCGTTTGGTTTGACGTCAACCGATTGAAAGTACGCCACTTTTCCCGGAACTGATTCCAGTGTTAGGAATGTTTGCGAAACGGGAGAACTCCTGAGCATTGTTGGCGTCCCGTAACCCGAAAGAGTGGTCACAACGAAAGTGTAATTATTATGCGGTTTGAGATTCAAATAATCGATTTTCTCCGAGAAAGTCACGTTAACCACAAGACTCTTCTCATGTGGATCTAAGTACTGTACTTCATAGCCATCTTTGTCACCGTAAGGCACTTCCCACGACAGTGTGATCTGATTGTCGGTCACAGACAACGCAGATATTGAACGAATCGGTTCCGGATAGAGACGCGCCTGTCGTTGGATTGGTATGGAAGACGTGCCGCCACTCACTGTCCAAATGCTTAAGTTATAGAGTCGTCCGGGAATTAAATTATCAAATATAACGAGTCTATTGGTGTCGTTAAACATCTTCTCCTGAGCGGCGATATTAGTTCCGCTCAATTGGAAACGATATCTATCAAACACCACATTCCTGGTGGGCGTCGGCGTGTATTTGATTCGTAATACTTTGGTCTCGTGTTCGTCGATCACAACATTGATTACCGAATCAATTACTGGCACTAAAAGAAAAATCAATTCATTAAAACAATTGTTTCGCTAATATTTAAATAGGTTTAAAATACTTGTTCTTATTTGTAGACCAATTCCTTCACTCCTGACTTTATGACTGATAACATAGAATCGGAAAGAATATTGTTCTCCGGGTTTTAGAGAATCAATTAAAACAGTCATCATTTCCGTGTCGTTAGTGGCAGTGATTTGTTTGGATTCTTGTTTAGTCGGCTCTTTCACAGTATTGTACACAATGTTGTAATAATCGATTCTCCCGTTTGGAACAAACCATTGAAACGATATGTTGTGGGAATCGATGGTATGTTTGACATCGAATATAGGATTCGGTAAAAGAGTTTGTTCGACTTCGCGAATGTCAGGACTTTCAGCCTTATTGCTAACAGAAGCCACTCTAACTACATATTTCTCTCCGGCCGTCAGATCTTTAATTTCATAAAACGTGGTATTAATTGGCGTTATTTCACGCCAAGTGTTTTGACCGAAGGGTCGATAGCGGACGATATAGTGGTCAACGAGAGATTCTTTGGGCGAACTCCACGTTAAACTGAGCGATGAGTTGGAATGCTTTGAGATTTGAAGGTTTTGAGGCGAACGCGGAAGTACTGTCTGGAAGTACGAGTGCGGGTCAGACATGAGTCCGTAACTTATAGCCGATACAGAGATCTCATAACCGGCTCCGGGATACAGATCTTCGAGAAGATGCCAATTATTCTTAATAACTGAGTCTTTCTTCTCTTTGGTATCACTTCGAGTCCATTCAATCTTATATGAGTCCTGTTTAGAGGTGACGTCCCATTTCCACGACACGTTCAGATTGCGACCAGAGATGGGTTCCACGACACCGATCACAGGACTGGCCGGTCGTGTCGGCTGATAGATGACAGTGTTCTCGCTGTACACCGTCTTGGAAATGGCCACCACTGATATGGAATAGTTACGGCCCGCCAACAGACTGGCCAAATGGAGATGAGTGTCCTTCACTACTTGCACCGAACCGTCAGAATTAAAGGCCTCGAGTTCGTGATATGTCACCATAAATGAGTCCTGAGTGCTCTCATTGTTGGCCTTCCACTCCAAATGTATATCCGATGCCTTTCCCGGTGTAGACGTCAGATCCATAACAGGCAGAGGTCTTGTAGTGATATTGCCGGATACGGGCCAAGAGGCCACGTTTCCCGACACTGACTTCACTACTACTTCGTATGTCTTTCCGGGATCCAAGTCTTCGGAGAAGTGGCCGATTCGGGGCTCATCTTTGGACACAATTTTAGGCAACGAGTTTCTAACGCCTAACGACACTTGATATCTATCAAACTCTGAGGAAGACTTTGGAGAACTCCAGTGGACATCGAATGAATACGAAGACACAGTGTTTCGATCAAATGTAACATTAGTTGGCGGTAACGGAACTGTTCTGTATTGAGCTTCTGTTGGATCACTCACTTGAGAGTGACTCACAGTTTGGACGGATATATTGTAAGCTCTGCCGGGAATGAGGCCATAGAAGGCCGCCTGTGCCGGACCGGGAGGTTCCGTCTCTTTTTCGACAAAAAGCACTGATTGTGAGGCGTCTTCGGGAACAATACTGACTCTGTACTGATCGAAAATGCCGGCCGGATATGGAGGTTGCCATAGAACTAATAGTGTTGTCTCGTTCCGGAACCACACTATAAACCTTCCGGGAGTGTTAGGTTTGGTCGTAAAGTTGGCCGAAAGAAACACATTCGACATCTTATTGCTTAGAACTGAATTCAATTGCACTTCATATGAGGCACCGGGTGTTAAATCTCTAATGGCAACGGGAAAGGCATCGTTGGCGCCCACTTCCAGATTACGAACTCCCGTCTCGTCCTGTTCTGAGAGCGGAACGATTGACAACTTATAGCCACTGACGCCTCCTTTAATCGGTGGCTTCCATCCGAGTTCAACAGATTTGCCCGATTGGACATCAATTGTCAACTCTCGCGGCGGATCAGGTGCTGCAATATAACATTTAAAAGAGTTTATAATCACACTTCAAGGCGTGACACGTTTTGTGCAAACAAAACGGTGTCTTCAAAAATAAGAGAATTTAAAGTTTTGATTATACAGTGCAACCTCTCTTGGGGAAACTTCTCTTGGGGAAACACCTCTTCATAAGAAACGGTTTTGAAATCGTGTTTGGATTTCCTATACTAACAATGTTAAAATGACCTCTCTTAGGGAAACTTCTCTTGGGGAATATTGGACATCAATTGTCAACTCTCGCGGCGGATCAGGTGCTGCAATATAACATTTAAAAGAGTTTATAATCACACTTCAAGGCGTGACACGTTTTGTGCAAACAAAACGGTGTCTTCAAAAATAAGAGAATTTAAAGTTTTGATTATATATTCATATAATTTGGAGAAAATGATAGATTGTTTGCAAATGAGCAGAAAATGAGTGAAAAGTTTGGACTCAAAACTTACCGCCTTTAACCAAAAGTGTGCCATTTATTGTAATTATTAAAATAAATAGTAATAAAATATATAATCTTCTCATTTTGTCTCTAATGTCGTCATTAAGTGATTCCCGTTTTTATTTAAAAACATTAGTAAATCCTGGAAAGAAAAATTCATTTCAATTATTTTTAAAAATACAAATAAAGTTAAACATTAATTTAATAAACATTTGTTTGCATTAAAACATAATTTTGCGCATCTATTGTAATCCCATAAAAGATTATTCATATTATTATTATTGATATAATAAATGATTTAATATTATATTTCTATTGCTTTAAAAGCTTTAAATAATTAACATTAAATATTTTTGTTCATTCTTTAAAAACAAGAAATTTATGTTCAAAATTAGATACAACTGAGAAATTATAGAAATATTTGCAAAATAATGTACAATATATGACAAAAATGAGTTATTTATAAATGTTTTAACTAATTATAAAATGTTTAAAATATATAATCTTCTCATTTTGTCTCTAATGTCGTCATTAAGTGATTCCCGTTTTTATTTAAAAACATTAGTAAATCCTGGAAAGAAAAATTCATTTCAATTATTTTTAAAAATACAAATAAAGTCAAACATTAATTTAATAACCATTTGTTTGCATTAAAACATAATTTTGCGCATCTATTGTAATCCCATAAAAGATTATTAATATTATATTTCTATTGCTTTAAAAGCTTTAAATAATTAACATTAAATATTTTTGTTCATTCATTAAAAACAAGAAATTTATGTTCAAAATTAGATACAACTGAGAAATTATAGAAATATTTGCAAAATAATGTACAATATATGACAAAAATGAGTTATTTATAAATGTTTTAACTAATTATAAAATGTTTGTAAACGTTATATAACTATAAGCAGTGGTTTGTATTCAGCAATCGGTTAAAGCCTTAAAGCGCTAAACAGTGTAAGGAATGAGTGCTTTAATGCTCTACTTATCACTACTTCTTATGCATCGATTCCAGTCTTCAGCACTCATTCAGTGATAGTTTCGCTCAAATCACATCATTATCTCATATTTGCTATCATTTTATTGCCATTTACTATCACTTCAGCACATCTTCGGGCCATTCAATGCTTATGCAAACAAAATGTGTGCAAACATTCACTTTTCACAATACCTATCGTTTGTCATCACAAATACATGTATCAATCAATTCACATAAAAACTATATTTATCTCATTGTTAAACATCTTTACTTCAAAATACAATAACTATTATTTGACACACAATTCACTCAATTATATGCAATGAAAGCACCGATAGATGTGTTCACACCAATAGGCCTACCGATCGTTCAATACATACTTCGCAACTAATAGTTAAACCAAAACAAAGACAAACCTATATTCTTCGTGAGCGCAATGGTTGCCAATAATCCATCGCTGATTTGGTCTATGGATTAGTGGAAGCAGTGCTGGTTTGGCATCATTTGGTCCCTTAGGTAGCCATCGATGAGTGGGTTAGCGGTCGGGGAATGGGATGATAGGCATCGGATAGGAGTCACCGAATGGTTATGTAATCATATGATCGACAGTCGAGTGAACGCAAAAATGGAGATGTCTTTGAGTCTGTTGTCGGGGGAGTCATTCACCACAACACCCGTCCCATACAAACACTACAATCGCTATAACTATGTATTGACAGCACTGACAACACTGACAGCCAAACCAGGGGTTGGCTTAACATTCACTTCGAGTCAAACACTCCATAAAAACTTATGTAAAGAAATGTCTCAAAACTGGTTCAACACCTGATTGGCCACAAGTTTCAGACATGACCTCAATTAACACTAC